CAGGGCTTCCATTTCTGGTTTCTCGACACTTAAGATAGTTTTCATCAAAAGCTCTTCAAAGGGGAGCCAGTGCTCCATATCTGAGGGAAACAATAACTTGTCAAATTCAGAAATGCTCTTACTCCATTCTTGATATACTCCATTTTCACCCCACCTTGACCCTGAAAAGGATTATTTTTCTGGAGTATTCAGGACCAAGTCCATCTGCCTCAGTAGAAAAAACGACTATGCCAGGCACTTACCACCTGGTGCGTCAGAGTAGCAGCAGGCTCCTCAGGGGTATCCTGTTGCCACAGGAGCCACACCTGGCACCCTGGGCTTTGCAGCCCAGCCCACACCTGCATGTCTGCACATCTCAGCTGCCAGAACACCATCCCATGAGCCTTGGTGAGGCACCCTGAAAATGATTCCAACAGTGGCAAGTTCATCTTTTTTCTGGAATTCTCTGAATGACTATTTCAAATTTGGTTAATCAGACATAATTCTGGTTTTATCAGTAGGTACCAGCTAACCTGACCAAACCACATAGTTTGGTCAGAGTCTTGAAGGGAGCTAGTTAGAGCCCCCCTGCCTCAGACACATAAACAGTGGCCCTTTCTCTCCTTCCTTAGGGTTACTCTGTGTCTACAAGGGCCTGGCATTCTCTTCAAGGCTTTTTGTGTGACAGGTTAGATTACTGCCTTTCTCTTGGTATGGGGAGATTTTGCTTCTAAGGATGTAATATTCCATGGAAATAACAAAAACAAGGAGAGAAGGGAAGAAGAAGAAGGAGAATTGGGAGGTGGAGAGGAAGAAGAGAAGGAAGAGGAGGAAGAGGAGGAAGAAGAGGAGAAGGAAAGAGAAGGTGAGAAGAAAATTAAATGAGGAGAAAGAGAGCTTCACATGTATTTTAAAAACATTTTTGGTTTGAGGTAATTATAATAAACATGCACTTTTAAGAGATAATACAGAGATCCCTATACTCCTCACCCAGTTTCGCCCCAAGGGTAACATCTTGTATAAGTACATCACAATATCACAGCCAGGAAATTGACAGTAATACAGTCTGTGGACTTTATTCACATTTCTCCAGTTTTGCATGCACTCATTTGTGTGCATTTAGTTCTGTGAAATTTTACCACGTGTAAATTCATGTGACCACTACCACCGTCATGATGCAGAACAGTTTCATCATAAGGATCCCTTTTATACCCAGGCACTGGGAGTTCTTTATAAGCACTGATAAGCACTAGGAGTTCTTTATCTTTATAAACTTGTCATTTCTAGACTGTAATAGAAGTGAAGTCACATGGTACATAGCCTTTTGAGACTGGCTTTTTTTTTAACTCAATATAATTTCCTGGAGATTCCACCAAGTTATTACATGTACCTATGGTTCATTATTCTTTACTGCTGAGTAGTGTTCCATATTATACATATACCACAGTTTGTTCAGCTGTTCACCTGTTAAAGACATCTACTGTTTCCAGATTTTAGTTATTACAAATAAAGTTGCTATGAACCTTGGAGTTGAGGTTTCCGTGTGAACACAGATAAGTTATTCATTTCTCTAGGATGATGCCCCAGAGTGCAGTCACTGGGTCGTACAGTGATTGATGTTTGGTTTTATAAGAAACTGCCAAACTGTTTTCTAGAGTGGCTGTACCATTTTACATTCCCACCAGCCATACATGAGTGGCCCGTTCCTCTGCATCCGCACCAACATTTGGCATTGTCACTTTCCCCCCTAGCCATTCTGGTAGATACACAGTGATGTCTCATGGTGGTTTCCGTTTACATTTCCTTAATAGCTCGGTGCTAGTTCACATCTTTTCTTGCATTTATTTACCAGTTGTTTAGTCTCTTTAGTGAAGTGTATGATCATGTCTTTTCTAATTACGTTTCTACCATTGATTTGACAAGTTCTTTTATATTCTAGAAAATTAGCATTGTCAAATATGTGGTTTGCAAATATTTTCTCTATGTCTGTAGCTTGACTTTTCATCCTCTTCACCAGATCTTTAACAGAGTGAATAAGTCCACCAAATTTATCCATTTTTTTCTTCTACAAATCGTGCTTTTGGTGTTAAGCCTAAGAAATTTTTCCTAACACTAGATCCAGATTTTTTTCCCCTAAAAGTTTTATAGTTCTACATTTTACATTTAAGTCCATGATTTGAGTTCATTTTTGGATAGTAGGAAAAGTTTAGGTTGCTTCATTGTTTGTTGTTGTTTATTAGTGATCATTTTAAGTGTATTTCTAAAGGTTTATCTTTACAGCAACCTTTTGTGATGGTTATTATATTATCCCCCATTTTACAGGTGAAGAAATTCAGAGAGATTTGGTGACCTCACCAGGCTCAACAGTTGATAGGCGGTAGGGAAAAACCAGGTTTGAGTGCAGGCCTACCTGACTCACATGCTTTGCATTTAGACTCTGCTTCTACTGCCTCCTGCCATCCCTTTCTCTCTGCCAGAGTCTTGCTTCCTGGGCAGATGTTCCAGTTTTATGCACACATTCCTTCATGACCAACCTTGTTTTCACCATAGCACACAGACCAGAGGCTGGAACCTGCCAGAACTTGTCCAGGTGTCCTGTGACATGTTCGCAGAGTGGAGAATGAGGCAAATCGGGAATTTCCCCTGTATGCAAAGAGTTTGTCATTCAGGTTTGGTGAAAGTCTCACGCGGGGTTTCAGCACCTCCCAGAGTGCTGCAGAACTGCTTTACCAGCACACTGGTTTGGGGGTAGCAGGCTTAAAGTTCTAGCCTCCCCACAAACAATCACACACACAATTCATTTATTAACCCCAACTCTAGAAAATTCCCATCACTGACTGCCAAAATGCATTGATAAAGGTCAATAGGAAAGACTCAGAGCATCTTGGGCAAAAATCCCTATGGCTAGAATATATTTCTTGCCTCTTTGGGTGGGTTTGAGTCATGGTCAGACTAGACCCACCTCATTTATTCCCATTCATTCATATCCATTCCCACTTGTGGGCAGGAGTGGCAGTTGGAGGTAAAGCTTGCCTCTCCAGCTTTCTCCTCTCTACTCACTGACTGCAGACTTCACAGCCAGGCAGGACCTAGAAACTTCTGCACTCAGACCACTGGACAAAAATTAGCAGCCTCTAGGTTGATCTTGCTCTTTCCCAAATCTCTAAGCATCACCCCACTTATTAACAAGAGGTCTAGGAGTTCTTTGCCTCTGTGACTTTACACTTGGGAAAGTCCCCTCTCCCTACAATTCTCCCAGAGCTTGTCCAAAGAGTACCAGACTTTTGTCCAAGCCCACTTAGGCAGACAGAGAGAAAAGAATGATTGCTATGGGCTGTTGCTATGGGTATATGCATATATCTGTTTTACCAGATTCTTCAGAAGCCTCAGGGTTGTTTGAATCCCCACCTTGTCTGTTTTAGCAGGTGAGCCAACAGTAACACACCTGGGTCCTGTCACTCCTCCCACCTCTGCCCTTGTGGAGTTCACCTTCCCAATCTCCACACTCACCCACATAGCAGACCTCCCGATCTCCCTGACAGCAATGTCCTCTATCACCTTCCAAGCTTCCAGGGGAGGGCTGGGGGGTGAGATGGGCCGGGCTGGCAGGGCTGCTCCAGGAGCAGTGAGTCGTCCTGCCCTGACTTGCTGCAGCCAAAGGGGCCTCCCTCTGATACTGTCTTTGGGGTATGTCTCCTGCTCCAGATTCAGGTTCCATCACCCGTTGCACCCTCTTTCAGGGAGCATGACTCTACTCTCCACCCACACCCCACATTCTTAAAAGGCTACCCTATGTTCCTCCTACGCTTAACCCGTTCTATAGGAACCAAACATACCTGGGTTTGAATCTCAACTACCACTTACCAGCCATGTGGCCATTCACTACTTACTGTTTTCAAGCCCAGTTCCCACATGTGTAAATAGAGGTGTTGGTCTTACAGCGTCACTGTGGATTTAAACAAGATCACATCTGTAAAGTATGTACCACAGGCAAAGTAGCTACTGATTCTGGGAAAAGTTAGTGCTCAGTAGTGGCTGTCATTGGTCCCTTTGACAACAATCTCAGGCCACTCTCTGGCCCTTACTCTGCTTGCCAGAATACATCTTGGAGGTGGCATGTAAATTGTTATGGGAAGAGCAAGATCTCCAGCCTCTACCTGGAGTGTGCTATCCTGCCCATGTTCCCTGGGAGCCTGGTAGGAGTCACGCTCCAGCTGTCTCCTGAACCTCACCTCTGGTCCCTGGCAACAAGCCCCCCCCCCCCCCCCCCCCCCCCCCCCCCACTGACTGGGCCAAGGAGTCCACCTCCCCTACTGCCAAGCCCAGACCTGGCACCCTCCTTCTGAGGTTGGGGCTGAGAGCAGGGCAGAGCCTGGTGGGGGGTGGGGGGGCACAGTGTGCTCCCTGCAGACAGGCACCCTACCTCTCACCTCTCACCACTGTTCTTGGTGACCTTTAGCACATCAAGACTGTGTGCTCAACAAACAAGTAAAACCCAACAACAACAAAGGGAGAATTAAGCCAGTCAGGCCAACAGATTCAGATCAGAAAATCCCCATTTTCTACTTTGTACTTGCTGGGGAGCCGGGTGGGAGGCGGTCTGTCAAAGGCCCTCACACTCAACAATGGAGATCCTTAGCACTGCCCTGAACGCTTCATAAACCCGCAGTACATGAGCTGCATGAATAAATAAATCACCCTCGCCTTAGAGCCGAGTCTACATTAAATGGGGCCAACTTCTTTGCCAGACTCCTGCTTCCAGCTTCAGGACAACTTCCCCTCCCTGCACCATCTCTAGCTCAGGACGTGAAGGAGGGTAAAAATCCTAGGCTGAGACTGAGGGAGGCTGCAGGGGCTGGAAGGCGGCCTCTTGGGGCTGCTTCGGAGGGATGTGCTCGGTCCCCGGCCGGTCCCGCACCGCCGCCTGGGGCCTCGGGGCTCAGGTTTGGGTTTGCGGGACCCGCCCTTGCAGCCCAGGCTCGGCTCCTCCTCGCGCGGGAGGAGCGGGGGGCCGGCCCTCCTCCCCATCCGCAGCCTCCCGGAGCGGAGCGTCCGGAAGCTCGGCCGCGAGGTGGTTCTCGGGGCCTGGAGGAGCCCTGGCCGCGCGTCCCCATGGCCGTCGGCGTGGAGCAGCGTCTGGGCAGCCTCGCCCTCTTCACCCGCGACGACTTCGAGGGCGACTGGCGCCGGGTGGCCAGCGGCGGCTTCAGCCGGGTGTTTCGGGCGCGGCACAGGCGTTGGAGGACCGAGTACGCGATCAAGTGCTCGCCCTGCCTTCTGCCAGACGCTACCAGGTCTGTCTGCCCCGCCAGCCCCTCTCCTCTCACGGAGCAGAGACCGGGCGCCTAGAGCTCCCGAGGTCGGGGCCGGCAGGGTTGAGGCTGAGGACCGCCCCTCAGCGTTTTAAGCTCTAGCTGAGTTCCCCAGGCTCAGTGCGTCTTTGTTTCTGTAACTGAAATGCGGTCGGCACATCACACCTGTTTGTGGAATCCACAGAGGTCGCAGGTGAGCAGGAACTACCCTCCTGAACGCCTGTGTCTCACCCGACCTCCCAAACTGGTCCTGCCTCCTTCGTTCTGACGCCTTCTTCCTTCTGGGTGTCAGGACACTGAGCACTGGTGCTTAGTGGCTCTCTGCCGCCCTCCTATCCAACCTCCAAATCCCAGGGCAGGCAGGGCTGGGCTGGCTGAGAGGCTGTGGCACTTGGCTCAGTGATGCTGTGACCTGCGGGGAGCCTCGTCTCCCTCCCCAGGGCCGTCTGAGGCGGCCCTGCCCAGGCAGTGCAGGGTGGAGGGGTCTGGGGGGGTGCGGATCCTGTCCAGGCCACGTGCTGCTCTCAGGTAAGTCCTGCTGGGAGGTCAAGCCTGGACTGTTGCAATTTCTGTCTTTCCTTTTGTCCCCGACCCCTCCCCCACTCTCACCACGAGCACCTCTTTTCCACTCTTTCCACCTGTCTCTCTGCCTTTTCATTGAGACGGACTCCAGTCTCATGCCCACCAGATTTGCTGGTCCTGGCTGGCCACGCGCTTGCTCCTTTGACAGCCATGACGTGAAGTTTGAATGCAAAAACCATGTCTTTCTCCCAAGGCTCCTGGGCTTTCACCTGGAGAGCCTGGGAGAGAGCACCTCCTACTGGCATCCTATTTTGGATGTTCTTTGTCATGTTCTCTGAGTCCACCATGCAAGTTCCCAGCACACAGCTTCTACACAGCCAAGCCTGTTCCTTCTCTAATTCCCAGACTCCCACCTGCTTCAAGAATAAGACAAAGCGAGAGGGCCCCAGAGTCACCCAACTTCCTCCCTTAACTTCCTCCTGTTGCTTTGGAGCAGAGATAGATTATTCTAGGATTTGTGCCTTTTGGGTAGAGAACTAAAGGAAACAGATGGCATTGACAAGACTACCCTGTTGGACACTGACAGGAACTTCTGCCATTTTCCTTTCTATGTCCTGGGAGCTCCCTGAGTGGAAGGGGCTCAGGGACTTAACGGCAATTAATACCTGCTATGTATGGAGTACTCTACGAGCAGTTTTACATGTATTATTTCAGCAGACCCTCCCTTCCATCTCCTCATTCCTTCATCCACTTGACAGATGCTTATTGCCTTCTACTATATGTCAGGCGCTGTGCTAGACCCTGAGGTATAATGATGGATGCAACAGATAAGGCCCTGTTTTCCTGGAGCTTGCAGCCTGCTCGGAGAAAGACATTAACCAGCTAACCCACGTGTGAATGTAAATATGCTACTGTGAGAAGTATTACAAAAAAGGAGAGATATGCAGTTCTGTGACAACTTATTAATAGAGCTTGACTAAAATCAGAAAAGGGCTTTCCTGAGTAAGTTATGCTTGAGCTCATGTGTGAAGGATGGGTATGAGTTCAGTAGGTGAAGAGGAGAAAACTTTCCAGGAAGAGGCAACAGAATGTGCAAAGGGCCTGTGGCAGCAGGGGGAATACTAAGTGAAGGTGGAAATGGCTGTTGTGACTGGAGTTGGGAGAAGGGGAGCAGTGGAAAGCTCTGAAGGATTTGAAATCAGGGAGGGGGGTTGGTGGTGACAGGGAGGAATTGATCAGAACTGCAGTGTGGAGAGTGGATTGGGAGGGTAGATGAGTGCTGCACCAGGGAGGAGACTGTTGTCATTGTTCAGACTCTCAGAGTCTGGACTGGCATGTTGGTGATTGAGTGAAAGGGATAGATCATGCAATATTTAGGAGGTAAACTCACTTAATTTGGTGCTGCACTGACGATGGGGGCCGCAATGAGGAAGGGAGTGTCAGAGCTGACTGGATACCTGGCTTGCCGAAAGGAACAGGGTCCACTAGAATGTCTGTTCTGTGAGAGCAGAATCTGTTCGTTCTGTTTACCACCGTAGCTCCAGTGCTGGGCACATAGTTGGTGTTCGGTAAATATTTGTTGAATTATATTGTTGACAGTTAACAAATGAAACATGAAGAGGCCCAGGTGTGAGGAGCAAGATCATGGTTTCAGTGCTGTACACGTCGAGAAGAACTGCCAAGTAGACTTCAGAGTGAAGGTCTGAGCTAACGACAATGTTTGTGACTCATTTTTTATCTGTCACTAAAGCTAGACATGGATAGCATTCATTCATTTTAAGCGCCAAGTGAAGAAACCAAATTCTCTCCCTCCATGGAGTTTCTTCTAATGGAGGAAGATAATAAATAAGTTAATAAGTAAACAAACACACATATAAATAATGTTATCTATAGCACTTAACAACCACCTGATATTTTCTTGATTAAAATACCTAAGGAGAGTTGAGTTGTCTAATCTTTGAAGAACGTATTGATTTGTTGGCCTTCTGTGTATGGGGGATGAGGATTGCCAGAGTTGGGGTAGGGTTGCTATTGTATGGAGACTGGGTACCTTACCAGTTAGGTGTCATCCGAGTGGAGATGTGAAGCAAGGAAGGAGTGAGCCGTGTGGCCCTCAGGGAGAGGGAAAAGCAAGTGCAGAGGCCCTGGGATGTAATATGCTTGACACCGTGGAAGGGCAGCAAGAGGCCGATGTGGCAAGAACAGAGGCAGGGAGTGATCAGCAGGAGATAAGACCACGTTGCTGTGTCTGGAGGCAGGTCAGTAGGACTTTGCAGGCCATTAGAAGAACCTGCGCTTTTACTGTGGCTGAGAAGAGAGCCCCTGGAAGGTTCCGAGTGGAGTGGTGACATGCTCTGACTGGCATATGGAAAGTATCACACTGGCTGCTGGGTTGAGCATAGATGGTGGAGGGGAAGAGAGAGAAGCAGAGAGGCCAATTAAGAGGCTTGGGCCGAGATGCCAGTGGGAGAGGTGGTGAGAAATGGCCAGGTTCTTGCTATACTTTAAAGGTAGAGCTGACAGGATGTGCTGAAGGACGGCATGTGGGAAGGAGAGGAAGAGAGGATTCAGGATGACATGAAGGCCTTTGCGGACTGGGAGGTGGAGACCCCATTCACTGAAATGAGGAAGGCTGAGGGAAGAGCAGGTTTTAGGGGAGAATCAAGAGTTCACCTCTAGACACATTAACTGGAGATGCTCCCATGACCTGGAAGCAGAGCACAGAGTGAGAAGATGAAGGGAAAGGGCCGGGACTGGACCTCGTGGTCAGGAGACAGAATAGGAGCCTGCAAGGGGGACAGAGAGGAAGTGGCCGGAAGGAGAGGGGAAACCCTGGGGGACTGTGGCCACACAGCTGAGGTACGTGAATGTTTTGAGAAAAAGGAACGAGAGATCTGACCTGTGGACCAAGAACTGAAGATCGTTCATGGGCTAGAACAACTGGGCGTCACTGGTAACTTCAGCGACAGCTGTTCTGAGAAGTATTGAGGCCAGAAACCAGATGAAAGGGTGGTGAGAGGGGAGGAGAGGATGGAGACGACAGGCATGGCATGTGCATTCAAGAAGTCTGGATGCCGAGGGGAACCGTGCCATTCCTGTTGTCCCCGCTCACAGCTAAGGGACTGAGGTGCAGAGAGTTTACCTGCTCAAGGTCCTACGAAGAGTAAGTGGGGAAACTGGGCTCTGAAATCAGGGCCAAGTGCCCGCAGCTCCCTTGCCTTCTTTCCACTTCATGACAGATGTCTCAGTTCCTATGACCTCAAAAGAACACAAGGAGACAAGTAAAAATATATCGCAGAGGTGGAGGGGAGCTCTCTGGAACAGCAGAGAAGCAGAAACGAGAACAGAACCTGGACTGGCCAGCCGGCCCAGACTTGAGGAAGAGCAGCTGGCTTTCCCGGGTTCAGGAGGGTCTGGCTGGCTTCCCAAGGAGTCCCTGTGAGCACGTGCCCAGCAGCATGTGACTGCAGTGACAACACAGCTTTGCAAATACTGTGCTTTTATTTTATTTTTCTCTGTAGCCATTTCATTTTTTTTAAATGTCCTTTCTCCCTAATCCTCATCCCACCATCCCCAAACAATCTGTAACTATTTGCATGTTTTACTGCTCTGTGGATACATTCAGTGAAAAGAGCCAGAGGGTTTGCACATGCTTATTTTCTAAGGCCTTCCCTTAAGTCTTGACTTCTGTTAGTGTCAACAAAGCTGTATTACACTGTGCATGGTAATGTGCTGTGGGGAGTAGCTAGAGGAATAGTTATAGCCTATCGATAAATGAGATACCATGTGGCCATCACAGTTCTTTCTTTAGAAGAATAACAATGTAGGAAAGTGCTCCAGCTACACCACAGGGAAAAGCAGATCACAGACCAGCCCACACTGTGTGAGGGAAAGGGAGCAAGAGAAAGAAGGAAGGAGTGAAAAGGAGGGAGGAAGGGAGACAGAGACCTTAGAAATGTATTGCAAAAAAATATACTGGAATATTAACAGAGGCCAACTCTGTAAGGTTAGATTACAACAATTCTTTTTATAACCTCCTGTATTCCTTAGATTTTCTACAAGGTGTGTGTATTGCTTTCATAATCAAAATGGCAATAAGTAATATTTTAAAACAGAAGCATAAGGCACAATATTGGTCTTCCAGGTCTTGCAGTATGCGGGGGGAGATATAGAAAAGCAGCCAGAATAAAGGACAGGCTTTTTGTGGCTACTTCTATTAGAATGAACTTGCTCCTAAATTTGTAAACTCCTTTACTTCCTGTTTTTTTCCTGCTAGCCATCTAGATCCTAATCCATGCATCCTACTGGGCATGGTCGCTTGTCTCTCTTTCCTCCTCTTCGAAATCACAAGTTCCGGAGGCTTCTCTGGGTCTGCACAGCCTGGCATCAAGTGTGTGTGTTCAGCTAGTTGCTCTGGTATCAATGGGTCACCTCCTTCCATCTCTCACTCCTCCCCCTCCATAGCTCTGATGTGAATTGCCTCATTGAAGAAGCAACCAAAATGGAGAAGATCAAGTTTCAGCACATCGTGTCCATCTATGGGGTGTGCAAGCAGCCCCTGGGCATTGTGATGGAGTTCATGGCCAATGGCTCCCTGGAGAAGATGCTGCCCACCCACAGCCTCTGCTGGCAGCTCAAATTCCGCATCATTCACGAAACCAGCCTGGCTATGAACTTCCTCCACAGCATTAAGCCACCTCTGCTCCACCTTGACCTCAAGCCAGGCAATATCCTCCTGGACAGCCACATGCATGTCAAGGTAAGGGCCCTGGTCAAGCCCTGCCCCCCTTCTACTTTGGAGTCTCCTCCAGGTAAGCAGGATTATCTACCTGTCTGAAGGGCCTATCAAGAGGTTTGAGCAGCTTCCTTCATGGTCGGATACTGAAGGCAAAAATCACAGCTAAAACAGAGGTAGATGAGCAGTGAAATTTGGTGCATGAAGCAATGTATCGGGGTGCCTGCAATACGCCTCTTTGGGCCTCGGTCTTCCTTTTCTCATGTGGGTAGAAGAACCTCTGTCCTTCTCATTCAGTGCTTCAGTGAGGATGTGTGTAAGTGAGTTGGCCTCATAAAAAGCCACCACGACCATTTTTGTCAGTTCCTAAAACACGCCACACTGGTGTTCTGCTCCAGGACTTCCGCACATTCCGTTCCTGCTATCAGGAACTGTACTCCCCACTCCTCTCCTTATCTAGCAAAGGACTACTCATCTTCCAGCTCTCAGCTTAAAGAAACACCTCCTCAGGACGGTGTTCCCTGATTGACCCCACAGGCCCCTGCGGTATACCCCTACTGCACCTCTGTCTCTTCATATTGTTAACCCCGACTGTGAGTGTACGATCACACGTGAAACTGTTTCATTAGGGACTATACTCCATTTCTGAATAACCACTTAGGACAGTAATGGGTGTGGGGCTTCTCACCTTTTCTATCTGCTGTCTGGTCCTCAGTACCCAGCCTGGTCGCCACTCACTGAATCAGCAATTGGTGTGTGAGTGAATCAATGGGAGGAAGCAAAGAGAGACAAATATCGACAGTGCAAATGCTTCAGAGCCTGTGGAAGTGGATGAACAGAAGTAGCCCCTCTGGATGAATGCAGCACCTATCAACTACTTACTATGTGTCAGGCATTTCTTTAAGTGCTTTTTGCATATTTGTTCATTTAATATTCATAATAGCACTGTGAGTTAAGTACTTGTACTAGTTCGGTTTTACAGATGAGGAAACCGAGACTCTTGAAGAGATAAGTAACTTGTCCTAGACCATCCAGGTATTATGTGGTAGAGCTGGGAAAGAGCCCGTGTTCCTAACCACTACCCTGTGCCAGAAAGGGGGTGAGAAACCAAGGCAGTTTTCTGGAGGCAAGACTGTTCTCCCTGTCCCCACCTTTGGCTTCCTCCCAGATCTCAGACTTCGGCTTATCCAAGTGGATGGAACAGTCGACCCGAATGCAGTACATTGAGAGGTCGGCTCTCCGGGGCACCCTCAGCTACATCCCCCCTGAGATGTTTCTGGAGAGTAATGAGGCCCCAGGGCCCAAATACGATGTGTACAGGTGAGAAGGAAGCTGGGCTCCGCTCCATACACAGGACGTAGCTGGTTGTCAACCACCCTGCCTGGACCCCACGGCCCGAAGGTGGGCAGGACAGGGTTGAGGTCTGGCCCTCCCTGCACACGTGGGAGGGGGAGTGCGAGAGGGACTGGCTGGAGAGGATTTGCCTGGGACTGCGTGGTCCGTGGGGCCCCCCGGCCCGGGTCACTCAGGTGGCACTTTCCCCATCTGCAGCTTCGGGATCGTCATCTGGGAGATACTCACTCAGAAGAAACCATATGCAGGTAGCAGACGGCGCTGGTCCCTTCGGATGGGTCCTAGAAGGGGTTGTGGGGGGCTAAGGGTTCACCCCAACACAAACCAGTGGCAGGTTTGTGCTGCAGGAACCATCTTCTTTTCAGAGGTTCCCATCTGCACCCTCCTTCCCTCCTCTGCCTACTCTTCTCATCTTACAGTGACAGGCAGGGCAAACACCAGCCCAGGCCATCGTTCTGGCTCTAGTTCCTCTGCTTTCAATGTGCTCTTTCCTGTGTCCCCCACTCCCACCCCTGCTGCCTAGCATGCCAGGTACATACACAGTCAGGAGACTGGGATAATTCAAGTAACAGGGTTGAAAGTCAAGTTCATAGTGAAGTCTGTTGGCCAGCCCTGCTGTGTTTGGGCGGGATTGTGTCTGGTCTTAGCTTGGGAGGTGACTGGAGCTGGACCAGAGCCTTACAGCCTCAAGTGGGCCCGCAATCTATTCACTCCCCATGCATTTGTGGAGGCCCTGCACCAACCCATGGGGGCCCCCAGAGCCCTGCCTGCTGCCCGGCCGCCCTGCCCCTGCCCCCCAGTGCTCGCACAGCTGGGCCTCCTCCTGCAGGTCTCAACATGATGAACATCATTGTCCGAGTGGCTGCGGGCCTGAGGCCCTCCCTGCACTCTCTCTCCGACGAGTGGCCAGGGGAGGCCCAGCAGATGGCAGACCTGATGACATGCTGTTGGGACCAGGACCCCAAGAAGAGGCCCTGCTTTCCAGGTTCTCATCCAGCCTGACCTGCTGGGGGACTGGGCAGTGGGGTGAGGCTGGGGTGCGAGGGGGCTGGGAGAGGGGATGGTGGAAGCCCCAGGCCACTCCTGAAGGCTCTGTAGAAAGGCCTGCAGGGCACAGGGGCAGAACCGGGGCCTCAGAGCTGGGAGGGTGAGGGGGGCGGGCAGCCGAGGGCTGGGAGTTGGGAAGGCTGTGCTAGGAGTTGATGTGTGCCTCTGTGGGGGACAGGGGGCAGCCCTTGCTGCTGGAAGGCAGCTGGGCCTGGCTCTGGTGCTGCTGGTATGAGATGCTCCCAGGCTGTTTGGTCACGAGTACGGGTAGACCTCAAAGTTACCCAGTCGTTAGGAACTCTGAAAACATGCAGATTGGTGTGAGCATGCGCATCTCGGAGAGCCCCTGGTCCTTCTCCTCATTTTATGGAAATGGACTGGCCCTCAGAGTGTCAGTGACTTGCCAAAGGTGGACCTGCAGAGCCAAGGCTGGGACCCATCTTTTCTGCCTCCTGGTGCCCATGCGTGGATGGATGTGTGTGTGCCCAGGAATGGGGGGACACAGGAAATCTAGGGTCTCCCAGGTGGGGAAGGGACTGCTAGTCAGTGTGTTGCTTCTTTTCCTCTCTCTCTCCTTTGCGGAGCAGACATCACAGTTGAGACAGACATGCTGCTTTCCCTGCTCCAGAGTCCTGTGGCAGATCCCGAGAGTGAGGCCCCAGCCAGGAAAGTGTCCTGCAAACCATCTCTCCGCCGGCCCTGGGAGGTGAGTGTGGTGGGCTGGGCATGATCTCCAGCAGGTGGTGGCACTGAGATGCATGAATCGGAGTGGCCTTCACAAGGCCACCCAGCTGAGGGGGAAGTGGGGACCCAGCCCACACTCTGCGGGCCAAGCCGAGCAGCCCACCTGGGGACACCTTTTCCTAAGTTGTACGAAGGCTCTCCAAGGGCTGGTGGTGGCCGTGGCTCGGCCCCTGAGAAAGGCTCAGCTTCTCTCAAATGTGTTAAGTGAAGCACAGCCCGGTTCCTCAGAGGGAGCCCTCAGCTCTCCCAGGCTTTCCCACCATGGGCACCGACACCATCACTCTGTTCTCCTGTCCATTCCCTAACGTGGGGACCAGCACAATTAGTGGGGGGCTCCTGGCTGAGCCCAGACAGCCACCCTGCTTTCCACATAGCCCAAGGGGAAGTCAAGGCCCTGGTCACACCTGTCAGGCAGGGTCTCCTCTGCTCAGGGTTTTCCTCTAGACACAGCTGGTGGTAGGAATGGCACAGCATAGGAGGGGTCTCCTAGAACAGGGTGGGTGTGAGTCCAAACAGTGGTGGAGAGTACCGGAGAGGGTAGGAGTGGAAGGTGGCATGGACCAGAACTGCCCTCCTGATCCACCCATGTCTTCTGGTTCTCCCTCCCCAGGTCAGTGAGGAGGTCAGCCTGGAGCTAACTGACAGTGGTGAGTCCAGAGTGCCACAGCTTGCAGACCATTCATGGCAGAGGAGAAAGTGGAATCTAGCCGTACCCTTTCTCCAGCTTCCCTGGCCTAGGAACTAGGGAATGAAAAAAGCAAACTGATGTCTTGACCACTCTAAACTAATTAAATCAAAATCTCCGGGGGATGCTGGTCTGTCAGTAATTTTTTAAAAGAACTCGTTGCTTTTAATTCGAATATACCACTGGGCAGAGCAGGAGGAAAGCAAGTCCTAATGGCCTCAGGAGTTCAGATCATAGAGCCCCACGAATTTATTTTCAACTTGCGTTTATTCGTGCCGAGCGTTCATTCGTGCCGAGCGTTTCTCTGGCAGTTCTCACCTATGTAATCTGTCCTCACCATGGCGGTACGAGGTGGGCATTATTTGTGTCCCCTTTAAGGATCGGGACGTGGGGCTCAGAGTCAGAGGGTTGGCTGGGTCGCATGATGCTGAGGGATGGGGTCAGGACTCGCACTAAGGCCTCTTTCTGTCTCATTTGTAAGGGGAGAACTGCCAGAGTCGCTTCTCTGGGACAGCGAGTCCTGCACAGAGATCTGTGATAATCAGGAAAGACCCTGCTATGGTTTCTGTTCTTGGACCGTGCTTCCAGGAGGCAGGGGGTGGCCGAGATGACCTCCGGACAGGCCAGAGGTCCTTTTTCAACCCCCTCCCTCTCTCAGCAGACTCGGGAGACCACTTGAAACAGCTTCTGCAGCTCTCGGACAGTGAAAGCCTTGTGCCCAGCAATGAGGAGCTGTGCATCTGTGAGAACAAGGTCACGCCCCTTCACTTCCTGGTGGCTCGGGGCAGCGTGGAGCAGGTGAGGCTGCTGCTGGCTCATGAGGTCGAGGTGGACTGCCAAACAGCCTGTGGCTACACGCCCCTCCTCATCGCTGCCCAGGACCAGCAGCCTGACCTCTGCGCTCTGCTCCTGGAGCATGGTGCTGACCCCAACCTGGCAGATGAGGACGGCTGGGCCCCATTGCACTTCGCAGCTCAGAATGGGGATGATCGAACCGCCCGCCTGCTCCTGGATCATGGGGCCTGCGTGAATGTGCAGGAGCATGAGGGGTGGACCCCATTCCACCTGGTTGCGCAGAACAACTTCGAGAATGTGGCACGCCTGCTGGTCTCCCGTCAAGCTGACCTCAACCTGCAAGAGGCGGAGGGAAAGACCCCTCTGCACCTGGCTGCCTACTTTGGCCACGTCAGCCTGGTCAAGCTGCTGACAGGGCAGGGGGCCAAATTAGATGCTCAGCAGAAAAACCTGAGGACACCACTGCACCTGGCAGTGGAGGGAGGCAAAGTGAGGGCCATCCAACACCTGTTGAAGACTGGAGCAACCCCTGATGCCCTTGACCAGAATGGCTACAGTCCACTGCACACTGCAGCCGCTAGGGGCAGATACCTTATCTGCAAGATGCTACTCAAGTATGGGGCCAGCCTTGAGCTGCCAACCCAGCAGGGCTGGACACCCCTGCATCTAGCAGCCTATAAGGGCCACCTGGAGATCATCCAGCTGCTGGCTGAGAGCCATGCAGACTTAGGGGCTCCCGGGGGCATGAACTGGACCCCCCTGCACCTGGCTGCCTGCCACGGGGAGGAGGCAGTAGTGGCAGCCCTGCTGCAATGTGGAGCTGACCCCAATGCTGCCGAGCAGGCAGGCTGGACACCCCTCCACCTGGCAGTCCAGAGGGGTGCTTTCCTGAGTGTCATCAACCTCCTGGAGCACCATGCAGATGTCCATGCCTGCAACAAAGTGGGCTGGACACCCGTCCACCTGGCCACCCTGAAGGGCAACGTGGCCATTCTCAAAGTGCTCATCAAAGCTGGTGCCCAGCTGGACATCCAGAATGCAGAGGGCTGCACACCCCTTCAGCTGGCCCTCCGGAGCCAAAAGCAGAGCATTATCGCCTTCCTAGAGGGCAAGGAGCCCTCACTGGCCATTCTGGGCAGTGCTGAGCCCAGAGACCAGACAGAAGTGTAGGTGACCTGGGGTCTCCCTACCGTGAGGAAGAGGGGTTGGGGGAAGTGAGGCTGGGCTCCTGGCAGGGTCTTCCCTGTACTTGCCATCTGCCCCTTCGACCTCAAGAAGAAACAGGAACCTGGCCCCCCGGGTGGTGGAGGGACAAGGAGAAGGACTGAGCGTGTAGCTAAGGAAAAGCCCTGGCTTGGAGAGGTCATTCAGCAGCCTGTCCAGGAACGTCTCCCACAGACCCCTGGCCTCCTCCTCCAACTCCTATACCTGAATTCAAGGCCCCAAAGTAAATTCTTTTTTTATTCCCAAGACTTCTGCCACCTTTTGCCAGTTGCTCTAGGCTCATAGGACCCTTTGCATCCCTGGAACCATCACTGAAGACAAATGGAGGCACAGAGGAGACAGGAGTGCTTTCTCCCAGCTCAGGGCTGTGTGAGCCGACCCCTCCCAGGGTGGGGCCCGGAGCACCAGACACCTGTGCTTTGCGCAAGGGGCAGGAGCTAAAAGTTCACAGGAAATTCTGCTTATCATTTAAAGCCCCAGCCAATCCCCTGTTCCTGCAGTGACCGCACCTTCCTGGAGGCCCTGGTCCCAGTGCCCAGGCCTCCCACACCATCTCCCGGAGGGGAAGGAAGGTGGTGCTCCAACTGCCCAGGGGTGATTCTGCGTTGGACGCGCAGTCCCTAGTCTCCCTGCGCCACCCTTTGCTGTGCCCAGTTATATGTCTAAGTCCAAACCCCAAAGTTAATAAAACTGTGGATTTGAGCCCCTCCTTTAGGGATGGACGGGCATGTGGAGCAAAGTTGTATATAGGGGCCAGTAGTGTTAGTACGAGGCATCAGTGTGTGTGTGTGTGTGAGCTCACTCAGGGGGCAGACGCGGGCAGTGGGGGGGCAGTGATGGTGAGGAAGAGGTTGCCTGGGCTCCATGTGGAGCTCCCTACTGGCAGCAGCCTAGAGCTCTGTCCTGTGATCACACCCTGGCCACCCATCAGCTGGCCTGGCCCGTCCTGCAGGTTATGGGGCAGGTCAAGACAGGGCTGGGGCTGCTCCCACTAGCTTTGTGTGACTGAGCCCTGGTTCAGTGGCCAGCTGGCATCCGCTCCCTCTCTGGGCTGCCAGGGCCTGCGGCTACTGGGAGAGGGTGGAGTGGGAGCAGGCCAGGTCGCCTAGGGGTCCTCTCCTGCTCCTCTGTAACTTTCCACGCTGCTGGAGCAGCCCTCCAACTCAAGGGTGTTTTGTAAATTCTTTTCCCTTTTCAGAGAAAAGAAATCTGCCCCAGCTAACGTTCGGGTCCAACCCCTGGCCCGTCAGCAAGCCCCTCTTTGTGCGTGGCACCTTCCTGGGCTGGTTGCGGGGCTACTAGTTGGCAGCCTTATATCAGCGTGGGATGAGAGACAAAGCAGAGGAAACCTGTCGCCCCCATGTACATGCCAATTTCATGAGTCACTTTTAGCAGAACAGGCCGCATTGTGTCTCCCACCCTGTGGCCTCTGGATTGCAGCACCAGCCTCATGGGCTTGGACACCTCACCCCATTATGCTGCAACCTTTGGCCACCAGAGACCCTTGGGAACAGCACTGAGCTGGGTCATGCTTATAAACCAAGCCTGTACATTAGACTCTTCTGGGTGAGGGTGTGTGTGTGTGTGTGTGTGTGTGTGTGTGTGTGTGTGTGTTCAGTGGCAGTGGGGCGGGGGGGTGGGTAGATGGGCTTATTAAATACCTGGTGCTACCCTTGACCAGTTAAACCAGAATCTCCAGGATAGCATCCTAGAGATAGCAAAGAGCAACCAGGGCTGAGAACACCCACCAGGGGGCGTCCCATGGTTTCGCTCAGTGCCATTCTTCAGTGTATGCAGGAAGGCAGTCACTGGCCAGCAGGGTGGTGGCCTTTTTCTTTCCTGGTTGGTTGAGCAGTAAGTCCTGAGGACTAGGGGGAGCAGGGCACTCAGCAGACCATCCCATCCTCCTCCTTCTTTTGAAACACTTGGCCCACTCTTCTTGTCTCCCTGACACTAAGCCTTGCTTAAGCAAGACTTACACTTAAAAATATTCCTGGCAGTTCTGTCTTTCCTAGAACATGTTGAATTGGAAGAGGGAAGATGAGGGGCACAGTGCTGTTTGCTTCTTGCACCCTGAGGTCTGGCTCTGGCTCCAAGTCTAGGGTTGGGAATGAACCAGAGAAGGGATGTGGGCCCCATATTAACGGCCAGGTGAACCCAGGTAAATCCCTGGGAGTGGTCAGAGTGAACCACAGAGGAAGACCTTGAAGAAAGGAGTTAGAGAAGTCAGGTGATCCTTCGGTACCTACTGCCCTATGAATGGCAGGGATCCCATGGAGACATGGACAAGAGTAGCTTTAGGAATCATTTCAGCTCTGAAGATCCCAGGGTCCAGGCTGAGATCCTAAGACCCCTGCTTTCTCTGTTTCCTTCCTCCAAGAGAAACTGAGGCAGGGTTTTAGGCCAGGGTTGGCCAGCCCTGGCCAACACAGCCCTTCACTGCCTACTAGCACCTTCCTGTGCCTTTAAAGCCACCCTTTCCAGACACACTCAGCACCTGCCTTGGACTCCATTTAAATAGCTGTCTTCTAGCCATCTCTAGGGATGGTTAGAATTGGATTCAGTGAGGCCCTGGAAATTCCACAAAACAGGGTGTCCAGTTAAATTTCAAACCCTATTTAGGGGAGACTGGGGTCAAGGAGGATAGGAACTCCCCAATTTCCTACTGGTCTCTTCCACTCGGAGGTCCTATCGGCCGTTTAAACTCAATGTATCCCAGCTAGGCATTCACCTGCTCCTCACCCTTTCCCCCTCATGTTAGTGGAAGGCACCCAAACTCTTCATCTAGGAGTTGTTCTAGACCAGCCTGCCCAACAGAACTTTCTGTGAGGACGGAAACCTTCTCCATCTGCACCTGTTCGAAAGGATAGACACGGGGTCTGTGCACTGTTGAGCACTTGAAACGCGGCTTGTGCACCCGAAGAGACAACTCTTTAATTTCAGTAAGTTAGATGTAAGCAACCACAGTGCCGTCTATACGTGCCTTTCCCTGTCCATGAAGCCTTCTCTGACTGCCTGGCTGGAGAGGGTCACTCTGCATCACGGCCCTGCGGTGGGGCTCAGAGAGTGCCTGCCCTGCTCGGGATGAGCCACGTCACTGCGTTTGCTTGTTTCCATGTTCCTTGCAGTCCTCTCTCGTAATGCCATCCTGGCTTACTGAATCAGAGCATGGCAGCAGGGTTGCTGCTGTAAAGTGAGGGGCAGAGGGTAGTTGCCAGGCTGGGCTGAGGTGGGGCTGGCAGGGAAGCTCTGGGGTGCCGGGAAGCAGAAAGATACTGGCTTTGAAGACAGACCGGATAGACCAGACAGACCGACCTGGATGCAAATCCTGCCGTGCCATCCACTAGTACGTGACCTTAGAGTGCCGAAGCTTCAGCCTCATGTGCATCATCTCACAGCCATAATGCTTATCTCACTGGCTGGTGCTGATGACTGAATCAGATGCCTTGTGGGTCAGAAGGCAAAGCAGTTAATAAGCATGCAACACATTAGTTTCTTGCAGTTTCTCCAAAATCAGAGGGGTTCTTCTCTTGGAAGGGGCGGAGACAAGCCAGTCTCGGAGAGCCCTTTGGCAGGATGCCCATAAAGGTGCCGCCTGTTTTCCTCTGTTGGCCCACCCAGGGGAGGGAGGGGCAGCCCTCCTGCAGTGCCTCGGTCTGTGTGACACTGACACCTCTTGGGACAGCCTAAAGCTGTGGGGCAGGGGCAAGCCCCACTGTGTGTTGTGCTTGCTGACACGTAGCTTCAATGACCACCTACAGATTAGATTATCCTGAGCCCCAAAAGCCAGATAGCGGAGCCAGTGCTAGCAAAGCAAGAGAACCACATATGTACCCACCTGGGGAGGAGAGCACCCTGGGCTGATGTTGGACCTTACTCTGCATTCGGGTGGGCAAACGCAGTGTGAGGGCTCGGCCTGCACACAGAGGGCAAGGGGATGAGTACAGGGGTTGGCAAAAGTAGGTTTACAGTTGTTCATATGGAAAACAATACAATCATCAATAAATAATAATACAAAGCTAAACTTTGTTTTGCAGACTCACAACTGTAAACCTACTTTTGCCTGCCCCTGTACAGCTGTGGGGGGGCTGGAGGGGGTGCAGGGAGAAGGGTGGGAGCCTGAGCTTGGAACAGAAGCGGGGCTGGGGTCAGTTGGCTTTCTGGGCTCTAAATCGCAGAGTGGCACTAGACCATGGAACTTGTCTTCTCCTCGCAATTTCCTCCCTCTCTTGCCCACCCTAGGCTTTCCCCACCCCGCGTGGAGTTCTCGTGGGCCAACGGGATGGAATGCTGGGACTGGGGCCTTGTCAGGAAAACCCAGGTGTGCATGCCAGAGCTGTGAGCCTGCAAAGTCTCCAGCCCCTCCCCAGGTCCCAGGTGGTGCCACCTCCCCCTTCTTACCTGACCCCTATCCTTCTCTTCACCTGCAGCACCTGTCCCAATGTGCCAGGGAGGTTGCCTCCCTTGCTCCAGCCTCACACACATCTCCAGGTCTCAGAACAAAAGCTAAGGGTGAAGGTGGGAGAAAGCCCCCAGCAAGTGCAGTGGTCCTGCCATGTTTCCAATGGACTTGGACCGGCCCGGCTCCACCCAGCAGTAAAGGGCCTCTCCAGACACCCTCCAGGCTGAATGTTCTACCCAGCAGCTCCTACCCAGCTTTATCTGCCAAGGGACAGAGCAGTGATGGGAGAAGGAGTGCGAAGATGTCCTCACCAGATACTCCCTTCTCCTGGACCCCCAGGATTCCAAAACACCAGGGTGGGTCTCTCCCCTAAAGATGGTCTGCTCTCTCTCCACCAGTCTGGTGCTTCTCCACATCCCCCAGACCCAGAGCCAGGGGCATCTGGTGGGCAGGAGACCTTCAGGTCCAGGATGCCCAGACTCTGGCCTCCTGCCACTGAAGGCTCTCTAGGGGCCGTGCCCAGTGCCCTGCTCCCCTCACCCCCCAACACACACTCATTTGCTCCAGCAGTCGAAAGGGCTCTCAGGCTCTTCACAAACTCCAAGAGTGGTTGTTTTTTTTTTCTTTCTCCCTTTTCAAAAACCTTCTGATCACACTAATCTTCTCCGACCTTTGCTCAGGGCTGGTCAGGAAATGGATGGAATGGATAATACAAGACAAGAGTCAGAAGACCTAGATTCAAAGTCTGGCCCTGCCACCGAGGCAACCAATGTCCGTGTGGGAGCAGCTTCTCCTCTGTAACAGTGGATCATGTGGCTGACCCCTGGGGACTGTGGGGACAAGAGATCACCCATGGCCCTGCCTAGATGGGAGCTAACACCACAGGCACAGCCTGGGCCTGGGGCCGGAAGGGCAGAGAGGCGGTGGGGCCCAGGGCTGGGCCGTGTGCATCCCCAGAGCAGGGTTGAGTGGGAAGGGATCCGATAGGTGGGCACACTGGGAACAGCCCCAAGACAGCCAGTCTTCAGTGTTCCTGGTTGTTGCTGACTGGCTGCCCCTGTCCTGAGACCACCAAGGAAGCAGGATCCGCAGGATCTTTTGGGGAACCTCCTGACCTGCCATTCAGGAAGTCCTCCAAACATGCTGCTTGTCCTCACCCATTCCCGACCTACCTGTTCCAGGCCAGGGCACACCAGGGCTGCTGCACCCCATGTCGTCCTCATCACCGAGGTAAGGGATGCCCTGGAGCTGGGCGGCCCACGCCTGTGGAGGGGTTCCCACACCCAGCCAGGGCTCTGCCACTGGCTGTGGAGCTGGTGCAGCTCCTGCATGATTAACACCCACAGCCCATTGTACTGGGAACTGCATGGAGGCAGGCACTGTGTCCACCGTTTTTCCCATGATGTTCTCAGCACCTTGCTCAGGGACTGGGGCACAAAAGTTGCTCAACAAATATTCGCTGAGACAACAGCTGGGTGGATGGACGGACGGATGGAGTGACCCAGTGTCTCCTACACTACTTGCCTTCTCAGTTCCCACCCAGGACATCTCCCAGCCCACAGCCACTGCGGACTCCTCCTGAATTCCCTAGGGGAAGAATAAGGCCCTGAAACTGAAGCCTTGCAGTCACGTTAGGACTCCTGAGGGGACACACACAAAGTGCCCAGCAGTGCCTGACCAGAGAGGCCCGCTCCTTGTGAGGTGCTTCCTCGCTCTGTTCTTGGGGAATACGGGGACTCCACCTGCTATAAAGGCAGATGAATGATCCTTTGATTAAAAGGCATTCTATGAGAAAGGCAGGCACAGGAAAAGCAGAGAAGAGAGCGTCAGAGGGCTATGGCCTGCCCAGCCTCCATCTGCCTCTTCCCACCCTTGCTGTCAAGGCAAAGGGGCCACAGTCAGGGCCTCTTGGGCAGGAGCCAGAAGCCAGGCCGCCCCCTTCCACTTTTGTGTTCCTGGGTCCCACACTCATCATTCCTTTGCCCCTGAAGTACTGAGGGGGGAGCGGGGGGAGCCCAGCCCTCCCCCTGCCCACTCTAGCTGTCTATCTGCTGTCTGGCAGAAAGACTTGAAATTTCATGACAGCTGTAGGCACTTTCCCGACCCCGCCTCCCGCCCCTGCCTGCCCTGTTACCCTCTTCTCCCTGCCACGGCCCTTCCCAAACTGCTCTGACGCTGTCTCCCTTCCCTCTCCCCTTCTCTTGTTCCTTTCCTCCTTCTCTCCCACCCTTTGTCCGTCCTTCCTTCCTTCCTGTTTTTCTCTCTCCCTCACTATCATCTCTTCCAATTCCCACATCTGATAAGCCCATGTGATCTCATAAGATTCCTAATGATAAGGTGAGCTTTTAGGTTCCTGTCCAGGTCAGGATCTTTCATAGACTGAGTGTGCGGTGTGCATGGGGCCACGTGGATGTGCGTGTGTTGGTTATGGGGTGGGTGTCAGCAGCTGAGAGTCCCTGAGGCTTCTAGACCCCTTCGGGGTCTGGTGCTTTCCTGAGAAGGAGGCCACTGGTTTGCTGACCCCTCAGCTAAATGAGGGACCTGCTTTGCCCACCTTCTGGAATCTGGGTGCTCCTGGGGACAGGAGCCTCTCCCAGAATGCAGGGCTACATTCAGGTTCAAGGGGAAGATCAAAGTCCATAATTAAGTGTTCAGGGCAAGTTAAGTGCTCCAAACTTTGGTGCTAAAAATATTGTATTTAGCATGCAAATTATGCCCTGACAGCTCCCCAGAGCCTGAGCCCGTGGGTGCCGGCACCTTGTTTGTCATCACTGCTGTTATTCTCAAGGTGGTAAAAATATTCCTCCTTCATCGGGTTGACTTATATTTCACTTTTAAAAAGCCAAATTTCTGTTGTCGGGTCAGTGCTGAGTTGTGGCCCCAGAAGGCTTGGAGCTGTTACTGGCCAGGAGGCGGAGAGGTGGGGGAGGAGGGAGGGCCAGGCAGAGTCACTTGGGACTGACGGGCCTGCCTCCTCAGCGGCTCCAGCAGGGTCGGGAGTGGGGGGGACCAGAAAATGGGCAACGGGCAGGTGCGGACACACCACAGCAGGCCCCTGAAGGCCGTCTTCTCCGTGGAGCCTTCACTACCCTGGTGGGCAAAAGGGCTAAGGATTGGCCCTCCAGAGGTGCTGGGACCTAGAGGGGAGGAGGTGGTATGTGGGGACAACCAGCCCCTGGCTTCCCTCTGGCCAGCCCCTGGCGCTCTGGTGATTAGGGAAGCTCTAGGTATGCTTGGGATTGCCACTGGAAATGCTCCCCCTTCCTGCTGGGTGGCCAGTTGGGGTCCTGGCCACCCAACAGCAGGACTGAGAGAACTCGTGGCAGCTTCAGCAGAGAAGATGGCAATGAGGGAGAAACTCTCAGGCACACCCATCTTCTCCTTGGTCCCATTCAAGCAGCTTCTGTTCTTTCCGCCTCAAGTCCTGCTCATCCTGATGGCTGTGGCCGGGGCCACCCTTTTCTGGAGAGTCTGCAGAGTGTCTCTCCAGCTCTATCCCCAGCACAGACACAAGGGCTTTGCTACACCTGGTGGGGAGGACACAGTTGGTGCCACGCCCTTCCCCACGAGGGGCCTCCCATGTGACTCTTGTCAACCTTTTATTAGTTTGGAGCACGTGTAGTGACGTTACAGAGTCTGGGGCCTGTGGGCTCCCCAAAGCTACAGCTTCCCCTCCTCCCTCGGGGCAGGGCCAGGCCAGGCCAAATGGTAGCCATGGGCTCCTGGAAGCCGAGGCAGTGGAAGGGAAGGGGAATGGGAAAGAGAAGAGGCAAAGGGAAAAGGAAAGTGGTTTTGTGGCATATACTATGGCGGGAGGCAGCCCCCGAAGAACCTCAGACACCTCAGCCCAGGCCCCAGACAGTCACAAGCCCCCTCCCGCACCTGCCCCAGGATGGCCTGACATTTGCTACAGGAAGGGGTGCACCCAAGTCCATCAGGAGGCAGCAGAGTGGGTTTATTAGGGGTGGAGGATTAGACCCTCCTGGGGCCCTCCCCGCAGCGGGTGTGGAGAGGGTGGGCCATGCCAGGACCCATGGCTACGGGAAGCAGAGGCTCCTATTGGGCAGAAAAGGGAGTGAAGGTTTTTGGCTTGGGCTTTCCTGGGTTTCATTCTCTGGCCTGGTGTGTACATGGGTCTCCCCAGACTGAAGTGACTTGGGGTCTTGGGAAGAGCTCTGGCTTTTCTGGTGTGGACCTTGGGTGCTGTGAACTGGCCATCCCTCCCTACCGCCCACTCCAGCACAAACCTGTGGAGGCCCGGCTGAGCCCAGCGGAGGGCACAGCCTCGCAGCCCTGACTCTGGCCCCAGCAACACCAGAGCTCCGGAGGAGGGTCAGAGAAGGTGGCTACATCTTTGGTGCCAAGGACAAGGGGTCTGGAAGTGGGCAGTGGTCTCTGTGAGCTACCCCTGAACCATGGGGTCCAGCCCAAGGGCTGGTGCCATGCCAGGCTCTCTACCCCACCCTGGCAGAGTGAGGTTGTCTGGGTAGTGAGGGGCGTGGTGCCAAGCTAACACTGCAGGGCCTGCCAGGCAGAGAGAAGTCCGCTGCACGCCCTCCTGCCCACTGCTCTCAGGGACTGAGGCCAGGCCGGGCCAGGCGGGCCCAGGCAGGGAGGTGGGCGGTGGGCTGCTGTTCAGGTGGGCAGCAGGGTCAGCAGTGGAGGATCTTCATGAAGGCCTTGCGGAACTCAATGTTGAAGGTCGTATAGATGATGGGGTTCACGGCACTGTTGACGTAGCCCAGCCATGTGAAGGCGCTGTACAGGACAGGTGGGATGTTGCAATCACAGTGAATGTTCAGGATGTGTGTGATGAAGAAGGGCAGCCAGCAGATGATGAACACGCCTGCAGGAGAGGGCGGAGGTCAGACTGACCCCAGGGCTGGGGAGGGGCTGGCTAGGAGGGCCCGCACTCAGTGGCCCCTGGATCGTGGCTGCAGGCCCCAGTCCAGGCCTTGGGACATGCCCCTTCACCCAGACTGGTGTCCATCCCACCCACTCACTCTGCCAAACTCAGGACCACCTGTGTGGGTGGGACCCTTGGTCTCAAGGCACTGCGTGCACACAGGGCTGCACAGGCACCGTGGGAGTGTCTGGGGATGAAGGGGTGCCCGGAGGGGGCGGGGCTGTGGAGCAGAGACCCTGTGGACGGGAGCAGAGGGTCTGTCTGGCTTGAACCCTGCTCCGTCACTCCTGGTGTTACGGAGTAGTACCCTTAACCTGCTGTGACCATGTGCACTCATTTGTAAAATGACAATAGTTACACCTGCCCCACTCACACATCACAGGGCTGTCAGGAGGTCAAAGGGGATGGTGGGGGTGGAAGGTGTCACACGCTACCTTGGGGGCTACGAGGAAGAAAGGGCCACATCAGTCGATCCTGTTCCCAACCACCTGTATCAGTCCAGCCCTTGCTTTTTTGGACCTTCATTACCTGGTTTTCTCGGGGACTATCTGAAAGCCTCGCCTCGCTGGCCGGGCCCTGATGCCAGGCCCTGCCCCCACTGAGATGGAGCTGTTTCTCACGGCCCTTTTACAATTTTTTTGCAGCTCTGGTCACACAGGGGCTCGGTTCCGCTCAGGGGAACTGATTTTCCCAATTCCTTAGCAATAATTACCAAGACCATAATGGTAACAGGTGTGTGCACCATTTAGTAGTTTATAAAATACTTTTCCCACCATCTACTATTTGAAGACCACAACCACTTTCAGAAGTAATCTACTCTACTGATGGGACTAGAGAGAGAAAGTGACTTGCCCAGGGTCATGAGGTTCTGGTGCCATTATTGTAGCCTGGTCAAGTTCACATACTCTCAAGCCAGGCTACCTAGGTTAAATTATGGGTCCTCCTTGGTCATGTTATAGGACCACCCAAACCTCAGTTGGCCCATCTGTAAACTGAGCTAATAGGGGGCATCAATAGGCTTAGCCTGGGCCCGAGGAAGTGCCAGTCCCCTGACCTACCAACCACAGTGAAGAAGAAGGTGGCAGGAACAAAACCGGCAGGGAGGGCCCACCTCTCGGCCAGGGTTGGGCAGAGCTGGGCGGTGGCCAGTGGCCAGCAGCCAGGGCCCACTCACCAAGGACGATGGCGAGCATCTGGGTGGCTTTCTTCTCCTTCTGCTGCGAGAGCTTCCTGCGGCTCAGGGTCTTAAGCGAAGTCCGTGTTTTGCCATTGGGCATGGACTGGATCTCAAAGATCTTGGCAATCTTGGGGTGGTCTTTGGCATGCCCATTCTTCTCGGGTTTGGCAGGGCTGTCAGGAGTGCTGTGGAGGCCGTGGTGGGACGGGTCGGGGAGGGTCAGCTGGTGGTGGCTGGGCGGGATGGGGCTGTACCGGGTCCTCTCAGGTGGGCTGGTGCTGGACAGCATCTCCATCTCTAGCTCCTGGGCACGGCGGGCAGCCTCCTGCACAAGGCGGAGAGCTCTGGGTAAAGCCAGGCAAGTTCTCAGGCAGTCGCCACCCAGCCTCACCTGAACACACACCTGGCCTATCTGGCCACACCTGGCCTCACAAGGCCCCACCTGGCTCATCCCTATCTCCTTCTTCAGACTCCTGCAAATGCCACACGTCACTCTGTCAGAGAGGCAAGGAGGATGATCACCTGGAGGCAGGGACTGTTTGGGTACAGGACCCAAGACCATGGCAGCCCCTTCCTGCAGGGTCATCCAGCCCCCTTCCCAGAGCAATCCTTAGGCGTCCTCAGTAACCCCACACCATTTTAGGGGAGCTTGCTACCCATGTACTTCTCTTTTATGAACTGAGCAACCCTTACTAAGTGCCAGCTAAGTTCCAGGTGCCAAGCTGGCTGCTGGGGATACGTTACCAGTTGACTTTCAGCACCCACCTCCAGGAGCTCCCTTCAAACTGCACAGAGGGCACTCCTGCTCTCCCGCCAGGCTGGCCTGGGGCACCAGCAGCAGCACTCACACACAGGCTCCATTTCTCCTGCTGGACTGATCCAGGGGCCGAAGGGCAAGGCCCCCAGGCTCCCACTCTCCCTGCTGGGCTGGCCTGGAGTGCCCTGCCATGGATCCACCCATGGCCTCCCAGGTTCTCCCTCAGGTTTCCTTGTTCCAGGGCTCAGGATCTCCGCCTAAGCTGCTAAAATGCAGCCACACTGTATGCCCAGGTGGTAGAACTGGAATGTTACCTTGGTCCCATTCCTGAATCCCAGTTCGGGCACCTATCTCCTAACTGGCTCCTTTGCGTGCTGCTCTTGCTGTACAGATGAATGGTGGGGCCCCTGCTTCCTGAGGACACCTGACCTGGACTTCTTGTGCGGCTATCAGCGGGTTCCCTGGCCCACCTACAGAATGGAACCCCTGCTGTTTGGACCCTGGTGTGACTCCAACTGGGCTAAGCCTGGGGTCTGCTGTGGTTCTGTACCTCTGGGCTCTACTCGGAGGTTGCCCTGCTCCCTCCCCACAGTGCAAGCCTGCAGCCCCAGGACCTGCCTGCAATAAGGCAGCACATGCAAGTGGAGAGCACAGCAGAGATGTGGGTTTCAGAGACACTCAAGCCCAGGCTCAACGATGTGCTCTCTCACTATTTAGCCTTGGGTGAGTTACCTAACCTCTCTGAGCCTCTGTTTCCTGTAAAATGAAGATGGTTATGATCAATAAGACATACCTCCCAGGGTTGCTGTGAGGATTTGATGAGATAATAGGAACATGGTAGGTGTTCATTAATGGTAATAGCCGTTCTTATTACTTTATCATGTTATTAAGGCTGAGTCTTTTCTCTCAACCATTGTCTTGTGCTAGGAGTACCTCTCTGTGCCTTGCAGAACTGAGCTCTTGCTTCACACCTGTGTGCATGGTGAGGTGTGCATGGTGAGTTGGGCCTCAAATGAGATAAAAGTGGGGGACCCCAGGAAATGCCTCGCCCTTTGACCAGTTGGTGAGGTGTCTGAGAATCACAGCAGGTGGGTTTCCCTAGGGGAATTAAGACCTGGCTGTGGGTCACTGACCTAAACACTTACCATTCTCCGCCTGTTCACAGGGAAACTGCCATTAGACTTCATGATAACGGTGCAGAGCTTCATGTCCTCAGGGTGAGTACAGCTGCCCTGTGGAGTGAGCCAGCACACTGGTTATGGCGGGGAGGAGGTGGGGACAGAGACCCCATGCTGAATAGTCAGACTGGGCATAGGAGCTCAGAGAAGGGCAGGGAATAGCAGAGTGGGGGCCTGAGGAGGCAGTCGAGGTAAGGGAGAAGGTCAGTACTGTAATAAGAAGAGGTGGACAGGAGGAGGGATAATCAAGCTCTGACTTATGGAGTACCTGCGGAGGTTCTGGCACCATGCTAGGCGGGCTCATAGCCCTGTCATACTGAATCCTGAAGACCACCATGTGAAATCAGTATTAAGATTCCCATTAACAGGTGATGAAACAGAGGCTCAGAGAAGTTAAGCAAGTTGCCTAAGGTCACTCGGCTAAAAAGTGGCAGTGTCAGGGTTTGAACCTGACCTGTTTAACCTCAAAGCTCTTGATCCTTCCAGGCCCAAATAATGTCTTCCTGAGGGAGGGCTGAGCAGAGGGAAGAATTCACAAGACATGAGGCAGGTGAATGAAAGAGGGGCAGAGTAAAGAAGTGGGAAAGAACAGGGGAGGAAGGAGGAGGCATGCACAGAGGGGAGAAGGGAGACTGTGAAGGAAAAGGAGATGGGATGGAGGCCTCAGCAGGAGGGGAAGGGAGATAGAGGGACCAGAATGAGGAAAGAAGGGAAGCAAAGAGAAGGAGAGGAGCCCGGGAGGGTGCCAAGGGCTGCTGCATTCAGACAGAGATCTCCGAGCAAAGGCTCTTCTTCCCAGCTTGCCTCCACCCCCCTTCCCACCTCCCATTCCTGGAAATACAAGTCCCTCCACTGAGGTCCAAGCCTTCGAAGCAAATCTGCCCTGCCCGGCTGAACAAAGCTCCCCCAGCCCGCACGCCCTCCCGCCGTGGTGTCTCAGGTCCCCACTGACCACTGGATGACCCAACTGAACTTGGTGATGGTTAAGGAGGGGTGCTGCAGGGGAGGGGGATCTTGGGACCTTGAGTGGGGTCCTCAGGTTGGCCCTGAAAGCCCGGCTACTGCGCTTGGTGTTGACCCGCTTCCGGCGCCTCCGGAGAACAATGTAGATCTTGATGTAGACCAGCAGGGTGACGATAAAGGGCACGTAGAAGGAGACAACAGAGGAGTAAACCACGAAGGCAGGGTTGGCGATGATGCACTCACTCTGTTCTGGAGGAGGGAAGAGTGTCAGGCCGGTGGGCCAGCTGGCCCAGGGCCCACCCGCTTGCAGAGAGGCCTTATGTCCTCCACCAAACAGGTGAGGACAAGGTTACAGAGACTAGATTAGATGTCCAAGGCTGCCTGGAAATGTTATTGCAAATAAGCACACAGAGCAAATCAGAGCATTAGAAACACAACTATGAGTAAAAAGCTAAGCTGTGATCAACTGCTTCCAAGTTTTTCCATTAATGTTTTCTCATTAGACGTCATTAGTTCTGTCATCTATGAGCATACAAGTGGAGCCAGGGTGTACGGAAAAAGTGCTTCAAGAAATTATTTTAAGAGCATAAGCCATTATTTTAGCCTTTCCTGTACACTGGGGAGAGGTCTGCCACCTTTTAATTTTAGAGACAAGGTAACTGGGTCCTGTGTGCGGAACTCACCTGTGTTCTCCTGGGTTTCCAAGCTCCCTTCACGGTCTAGTACATGTGTGATCTCCATTTCAGGGCTTTTCCAGATTAGTCTGAGCATATTTAGGCCTATTCCCACTTCTTGCAATTCCCACCAGAGTTAGATTTGTTACCACACACTTTCACGGCCTCACTGTGTACTACAGCCCTGGAGCTGTCTCCAGAGGCACACCTGATGGCTCTCGCTTCCCTCTGGAGTAATCTCGACACCACAGCAGCAGGTGGCGATGACGCCTCTTCTGTCTGAGATACTCCAACTGCCTCCCAAAGGGCAGGCCATGGTGTGCTAGCCTCTGCTTGTTTCTGCCTTTTCTGCTCCAGGTGGCTGAAGCCTGGCCTGAGCTCAGCTGGCCCTGGGGCTGCAGCCTCATTACAGAAACACCAGTGCCAGGGTGATGGAGGCCCGGGAGCCTCCCCCATGTGTGCATGCACACACACGACAGGCACATACATGTAGTGGTGAGGCTATTTGGCCTGCTTCAGTCTAATAAACAAGGATGAAAATGGCCAGACCTCCTGCTGAATCATAATCCCCACCCCTCACCCAACTGCACTGTGCCCCAGGTCATTGTTCCTCTCTGGCCTAAGCAGGTACGACATGGAGTCGGGCTTGGCCCAGGAGACCCCAGGCCTTAGTCCAGGGAGGCAATCAGGCCCTTGATGGGCCTCCAGCATGTCTGCACCAAGGCTCAGCTCCCCAGGACCCTGCGCAGAGGCCAGCTGAGCCCTCAGCACACAGTGGCAGGACTCACCTGTGTTGTTGAGTCCAAAGAGCAGTGGGCAGGAGATGGTGAAGGAGAGGACCCAGACGATGGCGATCATGACGGTGACCCGGCGCTTGGAGCTGTAGCGTGTGTTGTAGAGCATGGGCATGGCCACAGCTGTGTACCTGCAAGGATGTGGAGTGGGGGCCCCTCCACAACATGCACAACCAGACACCCCACTCTTTGGGGGTGGAGAGTTGGCCCACCTCCATGAAACTTGCCTGTCTACTCTAAATCACCGCTCCTGTCTGTGCCCAACTCTAACAATGAGGACAGCTGGTATTGTGGTAATGTCTGACTAACTGCTTAAGATCAATCCCGGACCATATCTTTTACTCCAACCTCCCCACTTGGACATTAGGCTTTGTGAGGGGCCATGGCCTGGATCTCTGTGCTTCGGAAACTGTACCCTTCTACACATGAGCTGAGCCACTGAAGGTGGAAGTGTCTGTGGAGGAATTGGTAGCTGAGAGCAAGGGCTAAGCCCCATTCAGCAGAAAATAATAACAATGGCAATCGTATATAATCCCTCACATTCCTCTGCCCAGCACTTCTCATACGTTGGCTGGTTTCATCTTCTAAGAATCCTACAAGGAGAATAGGACCAGGGACTCTCGCCTGTATGTAAGAATTAGTGAAAGGCTCTAAAGATATATCTTAGAAAGGTGAGCACAGCCTGGGCCCTCTTGGTCAGGTGCCCTGTGCTAGACATAAACCACATCACCAGACACTATAACTCCAAATGGGCAGCAGTCATCATCCCTGGTTTCTAGACGATGAAACTAGGGTTCTGAGAATTTCCATAATCTGCCCAAGGTCACCTATGTGGAAAGTGATAGAACCAGGGCATCAGTCAGAATCAAGTGCTTTTTCTCTACACCTGCCTGGGTATGCTTGGTAGCATCACTGTCCAAAGGATGGTACTTTCCCAGCCAGACATGCATGCACCTACACATATGCGCATGGGCACACACAGATGCACACATGTGCAATGCACATAAACTCATGGGCTCATAGGCACAAAGCCAGCCACATAGCATCACAGACAGCCTGACCCTGAAGGAAGGGTGGGGCAGCCTGAAAGGGAAACGGCCAGGGCCGCCACTCCCACCCTGCCTGGGCTCACCTGTCGATGCTGATGGCGCACAGGTTCAGGATGCTCGCTGTGCACATCATGACGTCCAGAGTGACAAAGATGTCACAGTGGATCCTGCTGAATTTCCACTCGCCCACCACCTGGGGACAGAGCAACACAATAGGTGGAGGGCAGAGGGGAGATGAGCTCAGGACTGGTAGCTTGGCTCTCCGGGGGGAGATCAGGCCACGGGCCAAGAGGGCAGCTGTGAGGGTCTTGTGGGTCTGCACCCGGGGTCTGGGGGAGAAGAGGAGCTGCAATGGGGGTCGTGCCCATGGGGTCTGAGACCCTTGTCCCTAGTCCCTTTCCTCCTAGGCACCCTGGGCCTCTGACAAAGGGAGAAAAGAGGAGCAGGACAGCCCCCTCCTGGTGACTGAGCAGGGCAGGGCCCACGCTGCCATTACAGCAGAGAACAGGCCTTCTTCTAACCTCGCTCATCCTCAGTGCTGCCCTCTTTTCTGCTCTGGGGCATGAAGACAAATGTTGGCATTTACGCTCAGTGATGGGCCCTGCCGCTGCCATTGTTCAGTGTGGAGAAAACAGCAGCTCCTCCTGGAAGACAGGGGGCCTCTCACAGCACTGCCTTCGCTGGGCCCCTCCCACGTCGCAGCACAGGGGCCCCTTGCACCTCAGTGCAGCACCTACCATGTGGGCAGCAACTGAATGTCTTAAGGGGCGGGTGGGGCAGGACAGAAGAGCTTCTCTGGAAAAAACTAAGTCTACCTTTTGGCACCACTGGGAGAGTTCTGGGCCCACCAGGACCACTGCCCCATTGAGCCTCTCCTAGACTAGGTCTTCAGAGCCTCTTTCCTGTCCCTGGGGATTTAGGTCTGAGATTGTCCCTCTTTCCCATGGGCCCTTGGTATGTGCCAGGCTCTGCCCCAGACTCTAGAGAACAGCGATGAGCAGTTCCTGCCTCAGGGAGCTCTCAGTCAATCCCCTTTCCCAGAGGCTTTTCTGGAGCGAGAATACAGGCGGCTTTCCTCCACAGTTTCAGGAGCAGCTCCTCTAGGGCACAGCTGGGGAGCTGACTCAGCGACACAAGAGAATGTGTTGGTGGCCACTGTTTCTAGAACACCTGCTGTGGGCATGTACTTTATCTCATTTACTGTTCTTAACACACAAGAGAATGTGTTGGTGGCCATGTTGAACACCTGCTGTGGGCATGTACTTTATCTCATTTACTGTTCTTAACACACAAGAGAATGTGTTGGTGGCCACTGTTTCTAGAACACCTGCTGTGGGCATGTACTTTATCTCATTTACTGTTCTTAACACACAAGAGAATGTGTTGGTGGCCACTGTTTCTAGAACACCTGCTGTGGGCATGTACTTTATCTCATTTACTGTTCTTAACACACAAGAGAATGTGTTGGTGGCCACTGTTTCTAGAACACCTGCTGTGGGCATGTACTTTATCTCATTTACTGTTCTTAACACTCACACAAAAGGGACTGCTTGTGTCCGGTCACGGACGGGAACGGAGCTCAGAGGGTGCGCCCAGCTAGGGTGCAGCAGGGCTGGAATCTGGGGCAAGTTCTGGGCAGCACAACTTACACTCTCTCCTAAGCTGTCTTGGGAAGGTCCATCAGACTTGTTAAAAAGGAAATAATGATGTAAAAAGTACTAAATAAATGAAGTGTGAAAAGAAAGATTATAATAGCTAGGGGGACAAATTTGGGGTCAAATTAGAAAAGGGACTTGAGCCAGATCACCCGGTGATTCAGCAGCAGAGAAAGAAACAGCCCCCAGGTTTTTCTTTGCACCTTTGGACACCATACATTGACATTCTTTTTTCTTTTCTTGTGTTTTCTTTTTTTATCCTCACCCAAGGACAAGCTTATTGACTTAGAGGGACGGCAAAGGGAGGGGAAAAGAGTGGGAAAGATACACTGATGTCAGAAAGAAGCACTGACCAGTTGCCCCTCATTTGCATCCTGACAGGGACTGAATCCTCACCTAGGCATATGCCTCAGCTGGAACTGAAACCTCAAACTTTTGGTTTATAGGACAGTGCTCCAACCAATGAAGCCACATCAACCAGGGCACATTGACATTCCTGCTCATATGAAGCTGAGACCAGCGGGACGGTCCCTGAGTTAGCTAGGTAAGTCCGAATAATAAGTAGCACATATTAAGCACCTATGTGTCAGGCACTGTTCTAAACACGTACACTGATATCTGTGGAATGTGACAGCAAGCCTCTGAAGCTAATAACATGGATGTCACCCTCAAAACCTCAAGCTTTACCCTTCCTGCTCCACAGCTTCGCACACTTTGTTTCTCTGCCTGGAGGGCAGGTGCCTTGGCTCCCTCCCCTGGATAATTCTTCTGAAGACATCACTTCTTCCTGCACGATCCTTGTCCCTACATGCCAAGTCCCATGCCCCCTGTGTGTGCCCACATCTCCTGTGGGGACTCTCCACTGTCACCTCCACCAGTGGTGTCCTCATTGAGGGCAGACCAGTGCTTTAGAGCTCAAGGAGGGTGTAGGACATAGGACTGCTCAATACATGTCGAATGAGTGAACACATAACTCTGAGCTCTTAGTCTGTTCACATTTCAATTTCATCTCTTTATCTGGAAAATGCACACAGTAAAACTGCCCCTCAAAGGGCTGGGAGGTCAAAATGGCATGGTACCTGCAGACAAGTGGCCCATGGCTCTCCTCTGTAGGAGCTTCTCCAGATGGAAAGTGGTTGAGGTGGGGACTGAACCCCACCCTCCCACTCTAGGAGCGGTGTACTTTCCAGACACTGAGTGGAATCAATGTGAGTAATGCACATCCAGTTCCACATGAGACAGGCGCTGACATGCCAGGCTACTGGAGGCACTTAATATCGCTGCAGGAACAAGACGGAAGACTCTAGACACAGCAGAGGGCTGCAAGAATACTCTGATGAGATGTTGGAATCGAGCGAGACTCCACTTGGAACATTATCTAGGGACAATAAATAGCCGAGACAATGTCCTGGGAGTAGGACCCACTGTCCAGCTCTTGCTGGGGTGGGAGACTATGGGAAAGTTTGAGCACAGCCCTCTGAGACGCCATTCTCCACTCTGCCCTCTGAACACTGAGCTTTCCCTCTAAAACAAAGGCACGTTGAAAATATCCGTTCAGAGGACTCCGAGGTCAGTAGGAGGCCCAGCACAGGCCGCATACAGCTTTGACGCTACCACAGAGTCTGGGCAGGGGCAGTGGGTCTGACAGCCCCAGAACCCATGCCCGCAGTCCTGGGCAGAGCACGCCTCACTCCGGGGAGAGGGTGCTTCTTCGCCTGGGTATGGGAGGGTCCTCTCTCTCTGAGTGGACAGGAGCGACACTTTTATGTAGTGCTTCTTATGTGCCTGATTCCATTCCGAGCATGTTTACATAGTCACCCATTCAATTTTCAAACAATGCTATGAGACAGACAAGGAGAGGGACACAGAGGGAGGTCTTCTTTCCTGATGCTCTGAGGCCTGGACCCTGCTTTGAAAGAGAGCGGGAGGGGACCCGAATTAAGGAGGGGCTGCTCAGGGAGAGGCCTCGGACAGCCCAGGGCCTAGCAGAGCCCAGGGGCCGCGGAGACCTTGCAGTCACGGAGGAACTGAAGCCCTGGCTGTGGCGCCTGTGTTTTTATGTTGCTTTGTGTCTCTTGTTTCCTTTTGGTTTTTCCTTAAGATTCAGTCAGGTCGTTTTGGAAGTCCCAGCCTGTTTCATCTGTACTAAAGGAAACCAGAGACTGACGGCCCAGAGCTCCTGGGGGCCTGGGTGGTGGTGGTGGCAACAGGAGGGGCAGGAGCCACCATGGGGAGAGGGGACAGGGCAAAGGGCCACTGATGGCCAGCTTCTCCTCCCACTGCAGCTTCTTCTCTTTGAGAACTTCTCTGCACCGACCTACAAAGGTTTCATGTTTTCTTCTAAAACAAGGGCTCGCCACCATGGCACAGGTAAACTCCTCTCTAGCCTAGGGCAGGAAGGAAACAGCCCAGTGATCTTGATGACCTTAGTATCGGTTCTTCCCTGAGCGCCAGGCAGATTCTGATGCAGTCAGACTCCACCCCAGAATCCTGGGCAGAGAAAGGGGCAGGATCCAGCAGTGCACACTCACAACCCCAGACCCTTCCACATCTGCCTGGCAGCTCTGAAAAGCATCCACCTGGAGGTGGGTCCACTTAGGGACTTCTATCAGTGGCTTCTCCCTCTGCTATGTAATCTGGGTGAAGACAGGCAACTTTTCAAAGCTTCAGTTTCCTCTTCTGTAAAGTGAGAAGAGTAGTATCGACTCCCAGGATTAGCATGAGTGCTTGCTGACTCTGTGTCTGAAAAATGCCTGGCACTGTGCCGGGGCCACAGCAGGGGTTGCCTACTCACTATTCTGAAGCACAGAGCTGGGCTCTGTCCTGGGCCGAGCAACAGTGACTCCCTGCCCTTTCCTGAGGAAGGGTTTGCAGCACAGTTCACAGAGGCCTCCGTGAACCAAACCCACGCGCTAGAACAAACTGGGGAAGAGGAGAGGGGGAAGGAGAGCACAGAGCAGCAGCCCACATTTTTGAAGTAGGGAAAGAGAATGAAGAATTCAGGCCTGGAAGCAGGAACATCTCCCGTCCTTGGGGGTCCCCATCAATTACTCCCATTTCCAGCAGGACCTAACAAACCGCCCCGCAGGCCAGATGGTGCACCAGGTTGGACCTGGCAGTTGTGTGTTACTGGAGGGCTCACCTAACTTCTGTGAAATGATGATAACAACATCGGTTTCTCAGGGCTGCTGTGAGGACTCAATTGGAAAAGGCTATATGTAAAGGACTTAACACAAGCCCTGGAACCTAGTAAGGACTCTATCACTGGTAGTTGGGATTGTTAAGGAGACAATTTACCCATTTTATAAGGAGAAAAACTGAGCCCACAGTAGAGGAACAGACCATCTGAGAAAGCACCGGGCAACGTGTGGGTGGGAAGCAGCGACGAGCCTGGACTCGAGGCTCCAGCACTATGTCTTCTGGAGAAGGTGCCGGGTATGGCAGGGCCCAGACCTACCTCCAGGTAGACAACCCAGGGCATGACAAGTGTGGCTACAAGGAGGTCTGCGACAGCAAGGCTGACGATCAGGTAGTTGGTGGTGGTCTGCAGCGCCTTCTCACGAGACACGGCCATGCACACCAGCACATTGCCAAAGACGATGATGAAGATGAGCAGGGTGAGCAGCGTGGCATAGTAGTTATAGTGGGGCTTGTAGGCCTTCCCGTCAGACCCATTGAAGGGCCGGCTCCAGTTCTGGCTCTCCGGATCGTCATCGTACCAGGACAGGTTCAGTGGATCCATTGGGGTAGCAGGGCCACTGAATGGCCGGGCTCTGGCCAGGAGAAAGGGACACAGGGAGTGAGCAGGAGGACCTCCCGAAGCATGCTGCCCCCCGTGGAGGACTCTGGAGCTAACACCAACCACTAGAAGTTAATAGAGAGAATTCTCCAGCCTCGCAATGTTAAGTTTGGCATCTAAAAATTTTCCTAAAACATTGAGGCCTGCTGCCACTATTTTGCTAGCAAGTTCTTACAGATGGCAAAACAAATGAGCAAGTATAATTTTTTAAGAAGTAAAATAAAGTAAATGCACTTGAGAAGAGCTGACCATTTATTCATTCATTTATTCAACAAACATATATTAAGCACATCCCATTCACCACACACTTAAGTTCATGAGGAGGTCCAGCTTCTAATGGTAGAAACAGAAATATGCATTCGCTTATTCTTGCTTCTACAAATATTTATTGAGCACTGTTCTCATAGTTCTAGAAACACAGGTAGGAACAAAATATACATAATTTTCCAACTCACAATCTAAAATCAACAATAGCCAATTAATTGAGCAATTAAATCTGTGAGTGGTAGGCACTAGGAAATGGGAGGGGGAGAGAGACACATGACCTAGCTTAGAGATTTAAAACAGGCTTTCCAGAGGAAGTGATGTTCAGCAGATGCCTGAAGGATGTGTAGGAATTAGCCAGGTGAAGAGTTAGGAACCAGGGGAGGTTCTAGACAAGGGAATCAGCATATGCAAAAGACAGAGCCAGAGAGCAGGTGCCATGGTGGAAGCAGAAAAAGAGTTGGGCCAGCTGAAGCATGGAGGGACTTGGAATGAGTTAAACTGGGGAGGCTACAATAGCTGAGACCATAGAGAATCACAGAGGGCCTTACAAGTCATACCAGCAGTTTAGACTTGAGTCTAATGGCAGTGGGAACACCACAATCAGATTTGCCTCTCGGAGAGAAGATGATGACTGTTGTGTAGAGAATGGAAGGGTGGGGCCCAGCAAGGTGGCAGCACACCATCTGGGAGGCTACTGCAAGAACCCCCGAGAGAGATGATGAGGTCTGTGCACGAGCACTGGGAGCCCTGAGGCATGGGCATCCCATTCCACAGGGGGTGGGGGGGTGGGGGGTGGAGAAACGTCCTGAAAGAAGTGTCATCTGAGATGAAGGAGGAGGAGTTAGCCAGGCAACCTAGGAGGTAGAGGGAGATGTTCCAGCCAGACAGAACACAACACAGTCCCAAACAGCAAATAGTTCTGTTAGGCAAAAAGTGTAGGGCATGATGGTGACAATAAGGAAAATTAAACTGGAGAGCCATTCATGGGCCAGATGGGGCTTCGTAAGCTTGGGAGCTCCTGAAAGGCTGGGTGCAGAGGACTGACTCCATTGGATTGGTGTTTTAGAGGGGTCACTGGCTGCTAGAGCGTAGAGGGGACCTTGGGGAGATATGAGGTGTGGCTGTAATTCAGGTAACAGGTGGTGGCTGCTTAGACGAAAGTAGTGGGGATGAGAATGCAGAGAAATGTTCAGAGTCAGCAGCTAACCTGGAAGTCAGGTTCATGGAATTTGGTCATTGCATAGATGTGAGGCAGGAGGAGCACTGGGGGAAAACAGGGAGAGACGATGTCAAGGATAACTCTGAATTTCTGCATTGGGTTCTGGGAGGCTGGTAGTGCTGCTCACTGAGAAAAGGAAGCAGGGGCTCAGAGGCAGGCTAGCAAGGCCTTGATGAGCTTGACAGCCTGTGTTTGGTTGTGATTGAAACATAATGCACGTATAATAGAGTCAGCTTTCCTGTTAACAAAAGTGCTCCTACTTCACACACTAGAATTAAATTTATCAGTTTTCAAGGCATTCTGCATAAAACACCATGATTTTCAGGTGCTGTGGTACCCAAGTAGGTTTGAAATGCACCGATTTATGCCATTCAGGATGAACATGTGCCCAAATCAGGGCGGAGGGCACATCAGCCAGAATAGGTCAGAGGGGACCCCCACCTCTGACCTGAGAGAAGGGTCTGCTCCCATCAACACCTTCATCCCTCTCTGACATACCTGCTATGCTAGCTATCAGCAGAGGAGCATGAATGATAACCTACCCAGCACAACCACTCTGGAGTCTCCAGGGAAAGCAAAATGCCTAATTCCATGTGGGATGCCATGGAATGCCACCCATGCAACAAGTCTTCCCACTCAAGGTAAGGAAGCACTGTGTCCTATTGATGCTGTCTTCTGCAATCTGAGTGGGCCCTCTTCCCATGTGGAGCACACAGCAGGAGACCCGGATGTATGTACTGACCAGGCAACAGGGGCTACTACTGTCAGTCATTTACTCAGCATCCATCGAGCCTGCTGGGCAGAAAGCACAGAGCCAAGAAGTGTTGGAGGCCTGGAGACCGGGAAGGCACAAGCACCCACCCAGCGTCCTGATGGTGCCCCTCTGCCCTTCCTCCCATCCCCTCAGTCCCTCTCTGGGTAGGGCCTGTGGCATCTGGTGGGGCCTCTCAGGTCTCTGTCGTTCCCACCCAACCCATTCTCTACACCCAACCAGACTTGTGTTCCCGCAGCACCATCCTGAGCCTGCCTGTGAAGATGGCTTTGTCTACTTGTACAGAATTTGACAGTTTGCCAAGTTCTTTTCTATTTTTAATATACTATCTCACTTATTCTCAAAACAACCTCTGAGGCTTGTCACCATACAAATCAGAAAAGTGTCTGGAAAACTTCATTTCCTTTTTCTCCAGTCACCGAGTCCCTACATATCCTTCATGGCAAACTTGCCCAGAGTCCTCCTGCCCTAGGGCCTGTCCCAAGTCTTCCTAGCTGGATCTTCTTCCTCCTTCCTCAAGGCTTCTACAGCATTGCGTCATGATTTTGCTCTGGAACACACCCCATTTGTGAGTCTGTTGTTTTCACTGGGGGGTTAGCATCTCAAGATTACACCATGTGTTGCTTATGCCTCATCTTCTTCATGGAATAATCAAAAGAGCATACTAGCTCGTTCTTCTCATCCAACTCCTAACGCTGTGATTTGCAGGCAGTAATGATCCACAGAGGTTTGCTGAACTGAATCAGAGTCTCTGTGAGCACACCTGGGAAGAACCCCACACACATACTTGAAAGTAACTATTAACATAGGCCACCTGATGAACAAGTGTCAAGAGTAATGCAGCCTGAGTATCATGGGTATTGCATGTTGCATCTCCAGGAAGCAGGCTGAGGAGGAAATCAGCATGCAGGAAATTTATTGCTCTCAGGCTCGAGACTTGCAGGGAAGTGAAGGAAGCAGGACTGGGCAGGGAAGTCAAGCTGCTTTGCAGTTACACCACAGGCCCCAGGTGTCCCCCCCGAAGAGCCTTGCAGAGTTGCCTGAATTAGGGCAACAGGGCCAGGCCTTTGTCCCCTCTCATAGGTCATGGGCTGTCCCAGAGGAAGGGTTTGGACTTGAGAAAGGCATCTCTCTTCGGCAGTGGGCAATCACCAAGCAGGTGGACCCAACTGTGAACTGCCATTTGTCGACACTCCCAGTAGTCAGGGAAGGAGCACATCAGTCGTACAGGGGGTCCGGGTGGCACCCTACAGCACCCACTACAGTGGGTGTTCAGAAATCAGAGAGCACATGGCTGCACATGGGTTTGGCTGCGGTGCTCATGGAAGGCTTCCTGGAGGGGGTAAACTTAAACTGGGACTTGAAATTGTGGGTACAATTTAGATGGCAAATATGAACATGGTAGGTGGGGGGGGGGCAAGGTGAACACCCATTCCTCAGGGAAACAGTGAGTCCCTTCACTCACAGCTGGACAAGGATTCACTGTTACATTTAATTTTCCAATCAGTATTTATTTACATTCTTGTTGATTTTTGCTGAAACGAATGTATTATGTTCACATTATAGAAAAAAGGGGAAATCGTAGAAAATGCCTAAGTGCCTCAAGACCTTATTAACATCTCGGTACAGGGTTGTCTTCTGTGTCCTCGGCACCCTTCCTACCTGGGGCTGAGGTTTCTCACTGGCAGAGGCTGCCCCGCTGGCTCTCCCACGGTACCAAGCAGGAGGGCAGGAACTCAGGCATCAGCAAATCCACTCCCGCAGATAAGGCATGTAGCACGAGAGGTACTAGTATAACGTAGGGGCTGAGGGCCAAACAACCTGGATTCAAACCCCAACTGTACCCTTACTAGCTCTGGGACCTCAGCTACTTGTCGTTCCTGAGCCCCAGTTTTCTCATCTGCAAAAGGGAGACACAATTATCATTGTGAGGATAAAGTAAGATGACGCATGTGTGGCCAGCACAGATAAACCCTCAAGGAATGTTAGTTAACTTTAAAAACCAACCAAGCAAAAGAATGAAAAGGAAAACAAAAGGCAATGTGCATTCCTGAGCCATGTTCAGGGTGTGTGTGAGCGACCCCCGGATGGGGCAGCGGCTGGCCGGGCAGACCCAGCCCTCCCAGCCCACCTGCTGTACAGTCAGCGACCCGTCACAGCAACTGTATTTCCTCGGCCCTGACACCGAATTCCGGGTAAGATGCCCCATTGTTTCATGTAATCCTAGGGAAAAAAGTACCATCAAACCCCAGTAAGCGCTAAGAAGGGGTCAATTGTAAAATGAATTCTGATTTCAGAGACATTAAAATGTTGGTGGGGCGTGTTTCAACTCAGGATGAATAAAATACAGTGCGCTCCCGGCACTTCCCTACCTGCATTTTCCCAGGAGGCCTGAGAAAGGGGTCCTGATCCTGCTCCAGCACCACCCCTCCCTCTTTCCCTGCTACCCATGGGAAGACGGAGCAGGGAGAGGCCACGCTGTGGTCTCTCTGCCTCCAGGGGCACCTGGAAGACCCCTCAGATTCCTACCCTCCAAGCTTCTCCATCCAGGTTGTCTTTGCCTGTGAGAAGGGGAGAGCACCAGGTCACCTGGCCTGTCCTGGCTCCAGAGAAGCCAGGTGAAGTCCACGCCCCTCTGGTGTCCGTGGGGGACAGCAAGCCCACACCGCAGCAGCCAGCACTCTGGCCTCGCCGGGATGGTCTAAATGTCTTGTGT